AAACCCGCTTGGACGCAGTCCTGTGCCACGTGCTCTAGGTGACCCTGCGTGTGCAGGGGGTTGGACTAGATGATCTCTAGAGGTCCCTTCCAACCCTAAGCATTCTATGATTCTATGATTCTTTGGAAGGCTATGGAAGATGACACCCCCAGGTGGGTTCCTTAGGGACAGAGCGTGGGATAACTCCGTGTTGGCTCAAGCCACGCTCAGCAAGTCCCTGTTAGGTGCCGGGTTGCTAGAAAATGCCAAAAGGGAAGGAAAGAGCCCCAGGGTCATCGTCCTGCAGGCTGGCACCATCCCTCAAGCTGCAACGGTCCAAAGACCTTGGGGACACCCGACCTTGAACACATCAAGCCCCTGTGTGGAGCCTGGGGATAATTCCAGCAGCCCCTTGGCTTTACGGATAACGGGGAAAACGTGGGAAAGGCTCTGCCTCCGGAATAACGGGAATAACGCGGCTGTGGGAAATCCCGAGCTGATGCCCAAGGAGCCTGCTGCAAATCGCAGCACCCTCCGTGCTGCTCCCCAAGGATGGATCCCTCCAAGGACGCCACCTCCAAACCCAAGGTGCCAATCCGCTCCGGAGCACACGGAGAACGCCACGGATTTCCAGGCCACCGGTCCTCGCGACGCGCTTCCTGCAGCGTCGCGTTCCATTTTTTGGCCCTCAAAAACTTTCAGTTTTCGTCCTGCCTAAGTTTTTGGCCCTCAAAAACTTTCAGTTTTCAAAAACTGAAAGTTTTTGAGGGCCAAAAACTTAGGCAGGACGAATCTAATGACTAATCTTGTAGCCACGCTTTGAAGAAAGCTCAAAGAGGGCTACTACCCGACCAAGGCTCCAGCCAGGCTTTTGCCTTCTTCCCCTTCCCCTTTTTCTTCTGCTCTTGCTTCATTCGTTTCCTCCCGTTTCTCCGAGTTTCAGCCCAACGCCCTGGAGCACTTCTCCTTTCTCCGCAGGTTCCCAGGATTCAAGGCCAAGGAGCCCCATGCAATGGGTCGAGCAGCCTTCTCCTACCACCACCCGAGACCCCATTTCCCTTCTCCATCTCCCATCTCATCCAACGGCAAGAACGTGAGTCCTAACAAGAGGCAGCAGCAAGTTCCTGAAGAAGATTTGCAACGGGCACTCAGATGTCTCAAATGTCATTTTCCAATGGGGTTCAACGCAAAGAAATTCACCTATTTGATGCTAAATTTGATTTGATGCTCAATTCTTCACTGATACCTCCAGTTCGAAAGACGTAGGCTGAGCCCGTTGTCCCAAAAAGAGGCTGGTGGCTCCAGCTGGGACAGCGACGGTGCCACAAAGCCAAACAAGGTCCAAAAGCGCTCGCACACGCACACATAATGTAAAGGAATATATTTATTATTTATTGTTCAACCTCCTCATCACTGCCCTTTTGAGGAACTGCAACTCGAGGGCCGGAGCTCTCGTTATCTGCGGACACACACGAGCAGGGATATTATCTTCCCCTGCCTTAACCACTTGTGGTTAGTGGTGGCCATCACTAGGATTTCTTAAAAGCAGAAGAAACCCTTGGTTTCTTTCTTCCTTTAAAGCACAGATTTTCTATTTTGGAGCTCTGGGTCTTCCCTCCAAGGAGGGGCTGGAAAAACGGCTGGAAAAGCTAGTGGAGGCAACAGCATCGGGCTCCAACGCCACCACCAACAGGTCTACCCCGCGCAGGGGCACCACGAGGATTTGCTCCCCGGTGTTTTATGCCCAAGCATTAATTTAATTCATTTATTTTTATTTTGAAAGGAGGCAGAAGGAAATATATAAAAAAAACCCCACACACACACAGAGACACAGCTCGAAGAACAGAACCTTTCCAAAAGGAAGTCCAGCTCTTAGGAAATTCAGAGAAGATGTGGGCATAGCAATGCCTCGACGACCGAATTATTGGTGTTAGGGAAACATTCCCGAGATGCCGACAGCTCCGTTCTCACTATGGTATCCCCAAGCACAAGCGACGCCGCCGGACGCCTGCGTTGGATTTTCCCAGATTTTCAAGCTCCCGAAGAGCATTCCCGACCAGGCGCCTTCCCTACCCAAGCCGGAGGACTCCAGCGGCCCGGGAAGCGCCGCTCCCGCCGGAGCCGGAGCGCAGCGTTCCCGCTGACCGCGCGCCCAGCTATTTTTAGACGGCGGGATGACACGTGCCATCCTTCTCCCAGCAAGGAGGAAGGAAGCCTCTGCTCCGGATAACGCAGCGCCTCGGATCTAACAGCCTAACCGGGGCTCCGCGCGCTAACGGGGATGTGCGGCCAATCCCAGATCCGAAGGACGGGATGCGACCGCCGCTGAGAACAAAATCCCGGTTAGGAAGCAACCCGGGGATTTCAAAAATTCGGGAAATTGGAACTCAGTCCAGCACCAGCCTAATAGAAAGCCACGGCAGCGGGGGAATAAGCAAGGATGAATGGAGAAATGGTGCAGTTTAGCGGTGCGGGGTGCTATTTTATATATATATCTTTAACAGCAGTCAGAACCAGCTGTGATATCGAGCGAGATGCTGGACGTGAGCGAATGCAAAAGAGTGTCCTGAGACAGCAGCGTTCATGGCTGCTTGAACAGGGGCAGCAGAGCGTGCGGAATGAAGGGCTCAGGTTGGAGCCGGCATCAGTAGCTCTCCACGCGTAATTAGCAATCCAAACAGGGAATTAGGCACAGCCGAGCTCACCTGCTCCGCGCGCGGACGGCAACACGTGGCCGCGGACGCGCGCCCGCGCGGCGGGAGGGATCTGCAAGGGAAGGATTAGCGCAACGGGAGCGGCGGGATCTGCCGAGCAGGAGAAGCAGCTCGAGCGCAACAGGCTGGGGAAAGGGCAGAGAGGGGCGGGTTTTGCAGCCCGTCCCGGGAATCGGGAGCGCGGAGCGGATGGGCAAGGAGCTTCCCGGGGAGTGAAGGAGATGGGCAAAAGGCTGTTTTTCCTCGGCGCCAGCCTCTGCCCTCAGCCGGCGGCAGGATCCACGGGCCGCTCGGAAGGCTCCGCGCTGCTCCGGCGCGTCCAACCCCGCCGTGCCGCGTGTGCCGTGTCGGGACAAGCCGGGCCCCGGGGGCACCTTCGAGGAGAGGCGCCGCGTTCCGGCTCAGGCTGCTGCTGCCCTCCAAGGACGAGGCGCTGCGTCCCCGGGGAGCCCCCATGCACCGGCTGCGCCCTGGAGCAGCGGGCTCTTCTCCGCAGAGCCATCCCGGGTGTTTTCCAGCTCTGCGTCTGGAAGCTGGAAGTTTTGGAGGGGAAGAGCTACCCCAAGGGCCAGGAACGATGGGCCCGGGCCGGGCAGGAGCAGAGGGCAGAGCGAGGAGCGGTGGGACACGGGGCTGGGAGACCTGATCCAGGAGGAGCAGAAGTCGTTTCTGGAGTGAGCGCTGCTCTGGAAACGGCTTCTCTGTCCCATCTCCTCCTTTGGAGGTTCTCCGTATCCGTAGCGGCCGGAGGGAAGGGCAGGAAGACACAACTAAGTTGCCACTTTTGCAAATCCCACAGCCGCCGCGCTCGGAATCGCAAGCGACGCAGCCCAAGCTGGGCAAAACCACAGCCTGGAGGCCCCGCGAGCCGCAGATTTCGGGACTCTTGGACCATCTCCACAAGTTGTCATCCCCCCATTGCACATCCCGGACCAAGCGGGCAGCTCCAAGGCACAGAATCCTTCCTGCTGCTCCGTCTCACCTGCTCGGCTCCCCGGGTTCTGGTGCAGAAGGAGCTTCCCGCCCTGCCCTTTCCAAAGGGTTTGCCCTTTGGCACGGCCTCACCACCCGCACTCCAGCTGGGAGATATTTCACCCGTTGCAGCAATGGGCACAAGCTGCCAGCGCCGCCTCTACAAGGGCCCCCGCAGCCCAGGGATCACCCGGGCCATTCTCCCGTGTCCGGAGCAGCTCCTTCCCGCGGGAATTGCACGCTCGGCTCTGCCCGTGCTGGCACGGGAGCACACGCAGGTTGTCACTGCTTTCACCAACACCATTCACCTGCACAACCCGCTCCGCGTGCAGGTCCGGGGTTCCCAACTGGCCCTTTTCCACTATTTTCCCCCCGTTTTGGCCAGCAAGGAGCTGTCCGTCTCCCGCAGTAACTCCTCTCCCAATCTGCTCCCGTAGCTCCGGCACGGCGCACGGACGCTCCGAAGCGGGGAAGAGTTCCCTCCTTG